GGGTATATTTGTAGCAATAGTCAACAATACATTGTATGGGTCAAAATTATAGATTTTTCTTTTAAGCCAAAAAATTATTAGGATAATAAGTAAAGATCACGTTCTTATTCAGCTTTCAGATGATGTATACATCTCAATTTCAAAAAATTGACCCTTGTGACTGGTTTTGTGGTCCATGGTCAAATATTACATATAGGGATGAATTAAACCATTTAAAATCTAATCAATATCACAAAACTTATATCACAAAGACAATAACTCAATAAATATCTTTAAAAGAGCAGATTATTTGAGTTTAGTTCAGTTTAGTTATTAAAAAATAACATTTATGAATTAATAATTTGATATTTGTTCAATAATAATAATAATAATTATATATATATACAGTGTTAGGGAAAGTTACTTTTAAAAGTAATGCATTACACGTCTGTACAGTAGAACGCAGAAGAAGAAAGTTCAACACTCTTCAGCAATAAAAAAAGAAGAAGAAATATTAGTTTATCTTGTGTAATTTTTGCTTATTAGTATAGTTGAATTGGATCAATGAAGGTCAGCAGCAAATAAATGGGATTAAACACATAAAGGATATTTGTATTATTTAACATATTTAATTATTGCAACTTTGCGTCATATTCTGAGTTGCTTTCAACTGTTTTTATTCATTTTGAGGAAAACTAAATCTGTTTTTTTTTTTGTAAGTGAGATGAATTAATGCATGTTCACATTTATTCTAGATCTACAGTAACATCTTACTCCCGATTTCTCTCAACATGGGCACAGGAGAGCTTTCAATCAATAAATGGGAAAAAAAGTAACTGGCATTACTTATTTGAAAAAGTAACTCGGATATTTTCTTGTAAATTAAAAAGTAATGCGTTACTTTACTAGTTACTTGAAAAAAGTAATCTGATTACGTTACTTGTAATGCGTTACCCCCAACACTTATATACATATATATTTAAAAACAAAAAAAAGTTAATACTAGGTGTACACACACATGCAATCAATGTGTAAGAAAAATATGTTGCTAATTTTTTACTTGATGGTTACTCCACCTTAAAATGGTATTATGAGAATGTATATGTTTTCAAATGGATCTTTCCTTTTCTTTATTATGGACACTCTTATATGAAATTGATCCCGATAAAAATAATACTGCAGTTTATCTTCACCAGAATGACTGATTGAAAATTATTAATTCCTGCCATGCGAGCAATCGCTTGAAGAAGCACCTTGTGTCCCAAGTGAACTGCTACGAACGCCTCACCTGTGAATTCTGGGAAGTAGGTGGCCAGGTGAGAGTGCACGATCTTCTCCTTCAGGATGTCTGTCTTATTAAGAAAGAGAATCACAGACGACTGCTGGAACCAAGGATATGTGATGATGGTTTTAAACAAAGCTTTACTCTCCTCCATCCGATTCTGAAACACATGAGACTCAACAGACATGAGCATGAAGTCCCAGAGGAACAGCCTGCACGAGGATGAACTCAAAGTACACCGACCTCATTGTCACATTCAGCCAGGACCTGGTCGTACTCGCTCAGAGCCACCAGGAAGATGATGGAGGTGACGTTCTCAAAGCAGTGGATCCACTTCCTGCGCTCGGATCGCTGACCCCCGACGTCCACCATCCTGATGGCATCAGATAAACACGACAGATACAGAGTCGTTCACTTAGGACTTTAATTTGTCGGCCGACCCCGGAGGTCATGGAATTTTGAATAGGTTCTAAAAATGTCCATTAAAAATTTTTTATTTTTTTACTGTGTCCTTGTTAGACATGTTACATGCACTTACTATAGTAATAACAATGAAATATATGCATAATTACATGCAACTAACCCTAATCCTAATTCTAACCATATAGTAAGTACACATAATTAATTATTATTACTCAGAACTTGAGTGTATAATGACACTGTAAGCCTTAAGTGTAAGCCTTATTCATTTTAGTGAAGTACTCACACCTCAGGAGTCCATGAAGTCCCTTGTTTATTCTTTAGGTAACATTTTATTTTAAGGACCAATTCTCTCTATTAACTAGCAAGCATATTATTACTAACATATTGGCTGTTTATTAGTAAAGCACATATTAAAGGGGTCATATGATGCGATTGAAATTTTTCCTTTCTCTTTGGAGTGTTAGGAGCTCTTGGTGCATAAAGAAGATCTGTAAAGTTGCAAAGACTAAAGTCTCAAATCCAAAGAGATATTCTTTATAAAAGTTAAGAGTCAGCCACACCTACCTAAAACGGCTCGTTCTAACACGCCCCCACATATCTACCTCACTATGTGGGAAGATTTGCATAACGCTGCCCAAATGTTCACGCAAAGAAAGAAGGCGTAACTTTTATTCTCGCTGTAGTATTGTTGTTGCCGCCGCCATGTCATGAAGACGCTGTGTGCTTCGTTGTGAAAGCGAAACTACTTTGTTTGGTCTTCCAAAAGAGGACGATATCTGCTTCGTCATGCCTAGAGCTGATCCGTGCTGGTCGCTGAGGAAATACATCAACTTTGCGCTGTGGATCGCCAGATCGGCTTTCACCGTGGACGAAGCGGAGTCCAGCCCGGGGTCGTCACATGTGGTTGCCACAAGCCTCCTTCGTCGAATCCGCCGGCCACGCCGTTCTCAAGCCCGCCGCCTCTGCTCACTCTAGCCCGCCGGCCGT